CTCAATAATATGAAAAAAAAGAAAAGATAAACACTAAAATAATGGACATAACCTTGAAAAGATACTTCACTAGAGAAGATACACAGATGGCAACCCAGTGCATGAAAAATCTGTTCAATACCATTTTTGTGATTAGGGAAATACAAGTTAAAACCACGATGTGATCCTATACACCTATCAGAATGGCTAGAATGTTTAAAGTATGATAATAAATGACCATAGCAAGTGCTGACAAGCATACAGAGCAACGAGCTCTCATCCACTGCTGGCAGACAACACAATGGTGCAGCTGCTTTAGAAAGCAGTCTGATAGTTTCCTATGAAGTGAAACACACACTGACCACGTGACCCAGCAATTTCACTCCGAGTTATTTACCCAGGACAGGAAGGAAACATATGTCCACACAATTACCTGCATGCCAGTATCTATAACAGACTTACTCACTCTATTCCAAAACTGGAAATAATCCAAATGTCCATCAACTGATGGATGGATGAACTAACTGTGAACACCCATCGTCTTGACTCATTCCTGAGCTTGTTGTTTTATGATGGACTTTCTGATATAGTCACGGTGGTTGTGTTGCCAAGAAGAAACTAATTTTTCATCAAATCTCATATTTAGCAGACTAGTCTGCTGTCCCCAACAAATTCACTGGTAATTAAGGACTGTTTTACTTAAAAATTATCTCTTATTTAATAATTGATGTCCCAATACTATTTCCCTAAAAGTCATTATAACCATCCTTGTTTCTTTACCATTTATTTAGCTATCATGGTACTTTTTTTTTTTTTTTCAAAAGACATCAGCTAATACACAGTAATGTAAGCTAAACCTCTGGAGAATAATTTCTAATGACTTCAGCTTCTATTTTCACAAGCTTTACCCATTCAACACATTGATGTTACCTCTTTCTGATTTAAAAATTAACCTATGATTAATATAAGGACAGATTAAGAATACAGCCTTCACACAAAGATATTGTAGAGGATTTCAGGTGTGGTAATGAATCTTTTAACTGTTTCCACCCCCTAAACGAGCAGAGATGGAGACAGCCCTTAGGAGAAATTGGACCTAGTTATCTGAACAAGGTCAGGATTGGTTTTTTCTCTCTCTCTTCTGCTTCTGTATCTGTTTTCCTGATTCTCTGTAGAAAAGCTTTGACTGTGGGGCAGAATCATAATAGTGACATCCCCAGAGTTTTATACCTTATTCTTTACTAATGCAAAAAATATGAATGCATCTTTGCATTTTCAGAGAAATAATATGATGTAGAGTTAATTATTTTGCCACAATATGGAATCACCTGTTCTCCAAGAGTTCTTGCCTGAACTATTAACTCTTTTTGTGGAAGAATAGCAATAGAAATTAAAATTAAGATGCTAGGGATATTCATTGCATTATTTTACCAAGTCTTTCGAGTTGAGCATGATGACACTTGAACAGAGAGAATCATTTTGGTGCCCAAACTAATTGCAAGAAGTTACCACTAAGAATAGAAAGTTTGTCTTTTTTTCATTCAGATGTTTCCTATTAAAATACTGGCAACTCATTTGGTTTCATTTTCAATCAAACTGGACTGCTAAATGATGAGTGAAGCTTTTTTTTAAATCTATCTCTCTTTTAGCATAATACTTGCTCGGATTGCTTATTTTTGGCATAACCTTAATTTATCCAGCTAGTTCTTTCATTGTCTAAATAGATATCACCGCGTAAGTAATACCATCTAAATAAAAACCCCAAACATACAAATGAATTAAGGCGATAATTTGTTACTGCCTTTTTACCTTATAAAATGAGAATTACTGATGATCAAATGGCTACATATAGTGTCAATCTAAAATACATAGGTATTTACCATAAATTATTCTGCTGTGTAAATTTCATGTTAAAACTTAAATATAGAGGTATACATGTTACAGCATGCTATTTTGTGTTTTAAACTTGATTTAAAAACAGGTGAAATTTAAATTTACGTATAGGAGAAACACACTGTTAGTGACCAAGAGTGAGGACTGTGGCAGAGTCTGGCTTGATGCTCTCCAGATATATTTCTGTTTCTTTGACATACAGTAAACAAGATTCCCTAGCCCCCTCATGTCAATGTTAGACCACGTGATCAGCTTCTACAATGGCATATGAGTAGAAGTCATATGTCTACTACGCGTTGAGGCTTTCAAGAGTGCATTTGTTTCCTTACTTTCTGTCCGTCTTTAATTCTCAGCTCTCTGAATGCTGAGGATCCAATAGGGAACTGCAAAGGGGAACTAGGAATGAGTCGGACTCAGATGAAAGGAAGCAGAGTTTCTTAATCACTGACTGCAAAACTGTACTGTGTTATGAGTGTAAGATGTCTCTTTATTTTGTTAAGCCACTGATACATCTGAGATGTTGTTTCAGTTTTTAGATTTTTTTTCAGGAGATGGAGATATTTAATTGAATAAAGAAATATCCAGTTCTCCATCTGAATGATAGGCTAGGGATTAGGTCAGTCTACTCTGATGGTGGATGGATATTCAATTTGTTTCAGCCTGTAACTGACAAGCTGAGGTAAATCAAGAGTGTAGTTCTCATTTGTAGATAAACATGAAAGAAGCCCCTACACAGATACTGAATCAGTCATAGTAAAGCATACAGAGGGGCAATGTAGGAGAGGCATGCTGTAGTAATGAGAAGCAGGCTTAAAATTCAAAAAGGAATGCAATTTTAGAAACACATTGTCAAACGGTCGAAGAACTCCATAGCGGGAAAAAACAAATGTAATTACATGTAGAAGTGGCTATAGGGCTTGCAAATTCATGCCTGATAATTTTATTTCCATACCCGCCTGGAAGTAGTTGAATTGGGAAAAGGATTTTGAAAGGAAAGTTTCTTACTTTTTTCTTTTTTCTGTCTCAATCTTTTCTAAAATTACATTTTCAATCAGCTGGATAACTTTTCTGATGCCCAAGTAGACATCATAACATGAATGAAACATCCAGACTTTTGTCAGCAGACACTACATGCTTTAACTTTCACAAAAGTTAATCTAGGAACAGAGCATTCCACCAAGAGACCAAGCAAATCATGTTCATGTGATGAAACATATGACACATTTTTCTAAAAGTGTGGATGATCCATATCTGGATGAATTATGGAAATAAAAGTAAAGAAGGCAAAAATCAACACCAATTGCCATAGGTCTGAAATACAATTGACAGAAAGATTTTTAACTTTTTCCTGAAAGTAATACTAGATGATTAGGGGATATTTCCCTACCAGGGACCCCCACCCATCCACCAGCGGACTCCCCTATAGTGGGGGAACTTTATGCTGCGAAGAGGCTGAAGAGAAGGACAGGTCATCTACAGAGACAGTAGTTTTAAAAATTAAAACTGGATGATTCCCAAAACGAAGCAGTCTTCTGGAAATTAAATTGACACACAAGAGAAGATGTCCTCCGGGTGCGCATGACTGCATCCTATTTAAGAGCAGCTAATATTTGAAGCTAGCAAGGATATTGTGAAGCTAGCAAGAATTACAGTGACTTCCTGACATGAAAGAACTTAAAAAGTTTATAGGTTAAAAAAACAACTACACTCAGATAGTTTCATGCCAATCTATAAAGGTAAGCTATAATTGTGTCAGACTATTTTATATAAGGATAGTTCTAAATTTGAGGATCAAGATAACAGAGAATAAAACAGAAAAGCATGAAATTCTGAGATTTTTATCTGAAAATGAGTGAACTACTTAAGATATCTCATATAGTTCTTAACTTTCTTAATTATAAAGTAAAATAAAATTAGATATATTTAAAATAACGATATTTATAATAAAAATTATTCACTTAAAGTAATTTCAAAGACTAGTGCAAATGGAAATATAGAAATATGAGAGAATATTTGTCTGCTCAGTTTTAGTTGTCAGAGTATTAAGGCAAAAATATCAGCTGATGAAGCTAGAAGGTAGAGACAGATACAGTAGATATGATGAGATAGGAAAACATATAATATTTGTTTTGGAAAGTTGGAGAACAAATATTAATACAGTGTAATGGGAACTGTCAAACAGTGTTGACTGCCTGATGTCGGATGACATTAATGTGAAGTGAAGCAAAACAGTGTGTGTGTGTGTTTGTTTTTCTTCACTCTCATTTATATGCTCCAGCTATTTGCATGCCCAAAGTAAAAAAAAAAAAAAATTCAGTTTAATCAGTTAGACTTTATTAGGCACAATTACAAAGGGAACATAGAAGTAGGGAATTGTATTTGGTTGCAAGGGAATTACATGACAATGGATCATAAAATCTTATATAGGTCTGGAGAGAAACAGGAAAAAAATATTGTGATGTATGGGTTACATTCTTGATTGAGTTAAAAGTTAATTGATACTTATCATACACTGTATAGGGGGTAATAGGGAAAGTTATTGAAGAGCATGATGGGATTAATGCTTTCCATATTTAGCATAAGTTATGGGAGAGGTACATAGGGTGGAATGATAACATTGCATATATTTAGTCCCTCAAAAACAAAGGATTCGTTTAAGAAAATGGATTCTCATCGGAATATAAATGCGAGGACCTAAAACTCATTTTGAAGAAGAATTAAACAAAAGCTTTATGGGAAATGATTTGAAATGAAAGAAGATGGAATAAGTCAACCAACACAGAAAAAAAATGAAGAACTCAAACAAAAACAATAGAAAAAGCTTGTTTCACAATTCCACGCTTTAAATAATAGTGATTAGATATTATTAGACATAATAATTAGATATTATTCTTTCACAATAAACTCTAAATAACAATGCACACTTCTCATTATATTTGGTATCATTACATCCAAATATGAAAAATATATATTAAGATTTTATTTCTGGGATTGATTTTAATTGCACATCAGTTCATTTCTGAATTTTCAAATCCCTTTTCCTAGAAACAGAGCAAAGTAATGGTGGAAAAAGTTTAAGAGATTATATAGATACATTCATGTATCCATCCAGTTAATAGAAGAGGAAAATGTGGTTCAAAAACACTAGTGAATTAACCATCTTGAATTTACTATATCTGCAGATGAAGAACAAACTAAAAACAGAAGAATCAAATATCACCACAAAGACAGAATTTGTTCTCTTGTGGTTTTCTGATATTCCCAATCTCCAATGGATTCTTTTTGGGATGTTTTTAGTCATCTCTCTGAGTATCCTGATGAGCAATAGCATCATAATACTGATAACAAGAATTGACTCATCTCTCCAGACCCCCAAGTATTTTTTTCTTAGCAATTTCTCCTTTCTAGAAATTTGTTATGTCATCTTGGGAGCTATCCCAAGATTGCTCATGGATCTTTTGACCCAGAAAGGAAGCATTTCTTTCTTGGCCTGTGCTACACAAATGTGCTTTGTCCTTATGCTTGGAGTCACAGAGTGTCTCCTTCTGGCAGCGATGGCCTATGACCGCTATGTGGCCATTTGTGACCCTCTGCACTATCCTCTAGTTATGAACCACAAGGTCTGTGTCCAGCTGGTGACAGCCTCCTGGATCAGTGGAGTTCCAGCTGTAATCGGGCAAACATGTCAGATTTTCTCTCTGCCCTTCTGTGGGTCTAACAGAATTAATCATTTCTTCTGTGACATCCCCCCAGTACTCAAGCTTGCTTGTGGAGACACATTTGTGAATGAGATACCAGTCTATGTAGCTGCAGTAGTGTTTATTATGGTTCCACTTCTTTTGATTGTTGTGTCCTATGGCAAAATTATCTCCAACATTCTGAAATTGTCATCAGCCAGTGGGAGGGCTAAAGCCTTCTCCACTTGTTCTTCTCACCTGATAGTTGTAGTCTTATTCGATGGAACGGCTACTATGACTTATTTACAACCCAAACCTAATCAGTCGGAAAGACTCGGGAAACTGATCTCTCTTTTCTACACCGTTTTGACCCCAACATTGAATCCTATTGTATATACGCTGAGGAACAAAGACATTATGGTAGCACTGAGAAAACTATTTGGTTATTAACAGTGACTCAAACACTCGAAATTATAGAAAGAATATGCTAATATGTTTATCATGTAGATACAATATAAAATATCTTCTACTTTTGTTCCTATGTTCCTAAATAATGATAATTAATATCATCATAGCAGCATCACATTATGTTATGGGACGTTACTTTCATAGGATTAAAATAAGGGCTTCTGTATAACCAAAGCAAAAATTATCTCAATTGCAATGATCTATTTTGAAGATCAATCTTCCTTCTCACTGTGAACTAGTGAGTTAAGAGATTGCCTGAGCAATACAATGATAGTCAACCTAGTGCGTCATATAACCAGGAATTAGGGTCATGTTCTGTGATAAATTTTCTTTAACTTTTCCCACTCTTTCATATATATTTGCTGCCCTTCTCTGTCCCTATGAGTGGACTTAGCCAATGAGAAACACCAGCAGCAGCTAAGATGGTGGAAGCGGGGGAATCTTAGTCTTTTCTTTGCATTTTTCCTTGTTTCTATCTCATTGCTGTCCATGTCGCTGTAAAACTACAAACCCTGAGAGTGTTCCCTCCTCTATTATCCCAGCACTTTCTGTTCTCTGGTAACATCATTCTTTCCCCTTGTTGCTACAGATTTTGCTTTGCTAATATCTATTTAGGATTAGAAGTTTCTGGAATTTTCACTGTAAGCTATCCATATAGGTGTGCAGTGAGTTGAATATTGGCCCCTCTAAATATATGTGCCTCTAGAACCTGTAAATGTGACCTTATTTGGCGAAAAAAAAGGCCTTTGCAGTTGTAATTAAGTTAGGGATTTTGAAATGAGATCATCCTGGTTGACTGTGGGCACTAGCTGTGACCAGTGTCCTAATGAGACAGAACGGCAGAGCAAGTTTAGGAAATAAATACAGAGACACAGAGAAGCACATCACGTGAACATGGAGCAGAGATTGGAGTGACACGGTGATGAACCAGGGAAGGTCAAGAGCCACCGAAAGCTGGAAGAAGCGAGGAAGGATCCTCCCTTAGAGACTTTGGAGGGAGTGAGACCCTGCCAACACTGTGATTTTGGACTCTGGCTTCTAGATCTGTGAGAGACTAAATTTTTGTTGTTTTAAGCCACTCAATTTGTGGTAATTTGTTACAGTAGATCTAAGAAAGTAATATACCATGTGTATAGTCTTTTCATCAAAGTCCTTTTATATGAATTCTCTGGAATGAATTCTGTGTCTTTTGTGGGCAATAATTTGGCATTTTTTTGTTATGAAAGAAAATTCAGAATACTTATGCTTTTATTTTAAAAACTGTAACAATGAAACCTCATCTTGTAGAAATAATATTTGTCCAAGAATGATTATGACATGTCTTTGTTTAAGAAGGTTTATTGAACATGTATCTGTTCAAGAGTGTTTATTAAATTTTTTTACGTGCAAAATAAAACTGGAAGCAAAGGTAAGGTAATCTCAGTTGGAAAGTATTAAGACACTGGAGTACAGTGTTTTAGAGCCCTTTGTTGAAGAAATTCCAAACTTTCCCTACATGTGAGAAAGAATGTAAATGTATGTATAAAACATAATTCTATTTTTGTAAAACAAAGAAGGATAGCATTCCATAATTTCATATAACATTTTACACGTGCATGTCAGTATTGGGTGTGCATGCATGTTAGCAGTATCTGGGAGGATGTGGATTAGAAGAGAATTTTGGCTTCCTCATGGTGGCAGGATTTCAAATAATTTCTGATTCATTTACTATATTTTATTTCTAGTTTAGACTTATTACAAAGAGAATGTAATATGTAAATCACAGGAAATAATAACTCTATTCAGAAAACATAAAACTACATAGGCAAAGAAAATTCTTACAGTTCTCCCTTTCTTATTGCTATTAAATGTCTTAAAGAATATTTAGCATCTAGCAGAGAAATTTCAGTATCAGCCAAATTTTCTTTAATTTTTGAAAGAAGCAACAGATTTTTTATGAACTAAAAGGAATTATGTTATATAACATTTAAAGTATTTTTTTTAAATTACTAAGAGAACTTTAAGAATAGATACAGTGATGAATAAATTTAAGATTATAAAAATGGATATACATAAAAATGAATGTCAGTAAGCTTTGAATGATGATAAATGAAAGAATTCTTAAATCAAAAAAGGAAAGAGAAAAATGTCAAGAAGTATTAAATCAAGGAAGGGATTCTCAGTACTTGACAAATCAGAAAAGTAATAAACAATATAAAAAATTATACAAATACTGACAAATATGATTTTTTGGTCATTTGCAAATCAAAAGAAAAAAATTGAATGTGTATGATTATCAGAGATTATGTAAGTGGTAATTTTATAAATTGGACATATATCTCTTTTTCAGTACCAAAAAATATGTATAAAAATGTTTTAATGTACTTGCTGACAATAATTTAAACTAATTCAAAATTACCAAAGTAAAAACAAGCAAAAATTTAAATGCTTAAAAAAACCACTAAAAATGTTGGATATTAAAGCATTTAAGAAATTAGGTTTATACGAAATAGCAAGTTAAGATAACATAAATTTATTTAAACTTAATGACAATAAAATAGATATGTTAAAGTTTTGGGGATTTCACCATATCAATCCAAATAAGAAAATATAGCTCTCTGAATATGCCAAATAATTAAACAAATATTTCCAATCTCTAAAAACGTTAACCTAAAAGAAAACAAACACATTTGCATTATTTTCTCCAGTTTGATTATTTGAAAGGATTCACCAGACTCCACAGACCATACTCACAAAAGAATTTTGATTAAGGTCAAATAACACGGTGCAAGCTCTGGCAAGTTCCACCATGCCAGCACTGAGTAAGCATGGCGCATGCGCAGAGAAGCACCTGTGGAGTCCCGTGAAGCTGCTATGCACCACTGCGCATGCGCCCTTCCCTCTGGTACAGGTAAGCACTAGAGGTCTGAGAGACACTCAGCACCAGGAACTTTCCAGGGCTTTTTTTCCCCCACATGTAAGACTGCACATTTACTTGAGATTGGGTGAGCTGTGTAAGGAATCTAGGTTTTTAGAGAGATCAGAGAACAGGAGTTGGGCTGGGGTTGTGATTTTTCTCTATGTAATCAAGCCAGGATTGTCAAACCCTTTAGGACAGTTGCAAACCATCAATAAAGAAACTGACTGGGGTCTCCAGAGTACTATTAGACCTTACACAGCATGTCACAAAGTCCACTGGCCTTATCTTAGCCAAGAGTAAAATAGGAGGCACCCGGACACTCCCAGAGAAAAAGGTAGAACTTTTCCAGGCCAGGTGTATATCCACTCTATCTCCACAATGGTAACGATTAAATTCAATATCTAAGTTATTGCGTTAGTTTTCTAATGACTACAAACTTAGCAACTTAAAACAACACAAATTTATTATCCCACAGTTTCTGTAGGTCAGAAGCCTGGCATGGTGTGGCTTGTTTCTCTGCTTACGATCTCAGAGGCTGAAATCAAGGGGCTGGCTGTGTGGAATTCTTGTCTGGAGAAGAATATTTGATTCTAGGTTCTTGGAAGAATCCAGTTCCTTGATGTTATGACACCGAGATCCATGTTCCTTGCTGGATATCAGCTGGGGACAATTATCAGTTCCTAGAAGCCAACGGCGTTCTATGTGTCCTGCCTTCTTCCATTTCCCTCACCTTGAATCTCCAATATTTTTTCTGGCTCTGGCTGCTATATGTAGATTTAAAGGACTTATGTCATTAGGTCAGGCTCACCTTGATAACCTCCTCAATGTAAGGTCAGCTGATATTGGACCTTAATTACATCTGCAAAATGCCTTTACAATAATGCCTATATTAGCGTGTGATTGAACAGCAAGAAGGTGGTGTGTGTATAGCAGGGAGCAGAAATCTTTGGCCATCTTGAAATTGTACCTACCACAGTTACAAAAAAAAAATGACAAAATCAGAAGAAATTATAAGCATATATAAAAGCAAAACTTACATAAAATATTGAAAAATGGAATTAGCTAAATTTGACGGAGCAGTTCTATGAAAAAAACACAGCCAGGCAACCGAATAAGTTGTATTGAAGGAGGACAAAGCAAACATTCTCACTACTAGGAATACGCAAGAAAATATGATCCCACGAACTGGTGTTATTTGTTTAAAATGTAAGATAGTCTTTTGTATATAGCATTGCTGAAACTACAAATAATAGAAAAAAATGCATAGAATTCCAAGAAAACATGAATTCCAAAAATATGTAAATATGTTCATACATCTATACATTCATAATTGTAGTATCACCACAATTGTAACCATGGCCAAAGTTTAGCATTGCTTAACATTTTAAAATCATTTAATGCAGTTGATTTTGAGAATATTGTACTCAATGCACACTGTAAGCTAGATGTCATTTTAGGGGCTTGATATAATTTGTCACAATAATGATTCAAAGAAAAAGGCACAGGATTTTCTTGAAAAATATGAAAGCAAATTGAAAATTTATCTTACTTTCATTTAAAAATTTAGAAATTGAGACAATCATGGGGAGTTTGGTCTTAGAATCAAATAGAGAGAGAGAGGGGAGAAAAAAAGAACATGGATCAAACATCTCATTGTAAATGAAAATGTGATATGAGAGTGAGCACATATATCTCAGTTATATCAAATAATTTCACACAGATTGAGGAAGTAGATTGGAAATAATAGCAGGCACTGTAGGTTTTTTTTTCCTCTGACATATTTCAGATTTAAAATATTTGTATTTAACACAGACTGGATATACACCTTGAAATAAAACCCTGTTGTTGATGACAAAAAAAATAATAATAATTTTCCAACAGGATTGTATTAGAGAAAGAAATAGATCACAGTAAATGAAGCATGCACATGTAATGGTCGAGAAGTCTAGTGTTGCTCTATTCCAGGACCCAGGCAGAAGAATCAAGGGAGAAACATTTAAAAAAGTGGAGATAAGAAAGCATCTCACATGCACAATTTTGAGTTTGAATATTCTCCTGTGAATATTAGTGGACAATTATGTGA